GTGCCCACTCCACTCCTCCATCCATGGTGTGGATCCTGCAAAAGGCATGGAGTAACTGCCTGGGTGCCAGCAGTGGGGAGTTTACAGGGTAAGAAACATGACAATGCTATCCCTGCCACCCTTGGGTGCCACAGACCAGAATTAGCGCAACAGTGAGAACATGGACAGTGAAAGCCTTCAAACATGTGGTTCAAGCCTAAGGATCAGTGGTAAGTGATGGTTGGTGGCCCAGAGTCCTGAATTCATCCTGTGTCCAGGATTGTATGCGTCTGTTTTGCATTGCTCTAAAGGAATTCCTGAGGCTGGGTAAGAGAAAAGAGGTTTCTTTGTCTCATGGTTCTACGGACTGTACATGAAGCATTGCTCCAGCATATGCTTCTGGTGAGGGGTTCAGGGAGTTTCCAATCCAGGCAGAATGCAAAGTGGGAGCAGGTATGTCACGTGGCGAGAGAAGGAGCAAGAGAGGAGGGAGGTGGTGCCAGACTCCTGTAAACAACCAGCCCTCACATGGACTAATAAAGCAAACTTGCTCATTACTATAGGGCGGGCACAAAGCCATTGATGAGGGATCTGGCTCCATGATCCAAACACCTCCCACCAGGCCCCACCTCCAACAGAGGGGGATCAAATTTCAACATGAGATTTGGAGGGGCCAAATATCCACATTACGTCAAGGATCACCCAAAATCAGTATTGTCAGTACCATTTTGGTGGCCCACTTAGGTGAAACCACAAAAGAAATGCCATACTGGCCAGGGGGAGCAATCCACTTACCAGGTCACCCTCCTGGAACCAGAGACTGGCCTCAGGGTCCCAAGATGACCCTCTTAGGTGCAAGTTTCAGCACTGTTTTGGGTCACCTGGTTGACCTCACACATGTGGGTGGGGAGACAGTGCTCCAAATGGGGAAAATGGGGCCAGGACCCACACAGGCTCCAGTCCAAGCTCTGAGCACCCCACCCAGATGGCACCGCTGGCCTTAGCCAGTCCCAGCCAGACACCACAAGGGAGCTTCCTATGTGGAAGGCACTCCAAAGTGTAGCAGAATCCCGAGGGGCTTAGGCCCAGGGCAGTGGTCTTGCTTGCCAGGTGTAAGGATTGAACTGGCCCCAGTATATCTGTTCTGTGGCCATCCAAGGAATGGACTTTAAAAAGTTCTATGAGATCCCACATAGCCATATACCAGCCAAAACAGCTGAAACTCAAACCCGTGCTGACGGTATTGCAGTTTGTGTTATAGTGCTGCTTCCAGAAGGACTCTGTCAAAATACTTAGTGTGCTCTCTGTGGGCAATGAGTCCAACTACAACACCACCAAGTGCAGCTGCCATTCATTGAATGCTGCAATGGGCTACTTAATCTCATATAATCCTTACAACAAGCTGGGTATGGTGGCTCATGCCTGTAATCCTAGCATTTTGGAATGCCAAAGTGAGAGGATTGCTTGAGTCCAGGAGTTCAAGACTAACCTGAGCAATAGTGAGACCCTGTCTCTACAAAAAACGGGAAAATTAGCTGGGAGTGGTGGTGCACACCTGTAGTCCCAGCTACTCAGGAGACTGAGGTGGGAGGATGGCTCGAGTTCAGGAGTTTGAGGTTACAGTGAGCTATGATAAGGTCACTACACTCCAGCCTGGGTGACAGAGCAAGACCCTGTATCAATTTAAAAAAAAAAATCCTCACAACAAGCCTATCAAATAGGTACTATCATCTCATTCTACAGATAAGAAACCTCAGGCTCTGAGAGCTGAGGGCAATTACCATGGTCACAACTGCTTTTTTAAGCAACAGAGCTGGTATTTTATCCCATGTTTATTCTAATAACTCGTTCTGTTCTCCTATAGCACACCACATCAGATTAGTTAATAATCAACATGTCTGCTAACAGTCTGTGAAACGCCAATTCACAGAAAAACTGCCATAGGAGGGATAGTGATGTAAGCACCAACATGCCTGGATCCCACCTGAGCCCAGGCTCCTACTCAGACTAATTAAAGCAATATCACTAGAAGAGTGCCCCTGGAATTATTTTAATTTTTGGAAGTTTTAAAGCTTCCCAAGGTAATCCTAATAAGCAGCCACAGTTGAGAAAAACTTGTATAGAGTGTTCTGAAGACAATATTTGAGTGTCTTGAAAATAGTAGGAGAGGGCCAGGCGCGGTGGCTCACACCTCTAATCCCAGCACTCTGGGAGGCTGAGGCAGGAAGATTGCTTGAGGTCAGGAGTTCAAGACCAGCCTGAGCCAGCCTGAGCAAGAGCGAGACCCTGCATCTACTAAAAATAGAAATTAGCCAGACAACTAAAAAATATATAGAAAAATTAGCCAGGCATGGTGGCATGTCCCTGTAGTCCCAGCTACTTAGAAGGATGAGGCAGAAGAATTGCTTGAGCCCAGGAGTTTGAGGTTGCTGTGAGCTAGACTGATGCCACAGAACTCTAGCCCAGACAACAGAGCAAGACTCTGTCTCATAAATAAATGTGTCAATGAAGAGTATAAAACAAACTTATCATACAGTCACTTCTAAAAAGATGCTCATGGCCTAACTAAGATTGTATAATAGTCAAATTAATTAAAGGCTAATTAAATAGTATATATAGGTCCATGATCCCTTACCTAAATCTTTTGGAGCTAATGCATTTTGGAACTTAGACATTTTTTTATTTTAAAAACCAATAGTGCGTGAGTGCATGTGTATACGTGTGTATCTTATGTTACTTAAACACCCCAGAAGAGTCTATCTGAAGCAGTACTCATAATTGATCACATCGATATTTCTACGGTGAAATGTATAATGATCACATGGCATAAATAAAGAAAATAAATAGCCTCACATTTTCAATTTAGTCAGGTGTCATATCTAAATGAGTTTTGAGGCCACTTTGAAAAAGATGTTCAGTTTTCAGAGCTTTAGGCATTTGGGAACTGTGGATAAGTGACCGTGGACCTGTCATATGGACTAAATAAAATACTCTGGAAGTGTACAGAAGGAGCTTCAATGGAGTTAAAAGAACTGGTGAAAGTTTTGTGAATGAGGCAGAATTTGGGCTGTAACAAGTTAATTTTCTGTCCCTGGGTGGTGAGGTACCCACAAAGCCTTGTCACCTGCTATCAACCATGGAAGCTGTATTTTCCTGCTTCAGCCACAGGGGACTCATAGATTGTTCTAGAAATTGCTTTCCTGAGGTAATCTCCATGGTCAGGTAGAAGCCTGATCACTGAGATTTGTCCAAAGTGGAGACCAGTAAGAGGAGAGAGGTACACTTATTAAACAGTGTGGGAACCCTTAGGGTGAGAGGCTGGAATGAACCTGTAAGATGAAGCCACACCTGCAAATGAGACAATGTAGGCTTCAATCCCTGGCTAATTCCACTCTCTTTATTTTACCCCATGCAATGGATCTCTTTCACAATTCATTCCCAATCCTAATGCCCTTGGTTGACCCACCAGAAAAATTCCTAACCTGGCTAATTTTCTCTGACATCTGCTCTTCTTTCCTCTCTTCCTACCCCATTTCTCATTTTCTCCCTTGCCTTGGATGTTCTTTTGTCTCTTTCTCCAGAGAGTGATTCCCATCAGGAAGAGTAGGGATCTGCCTTGGGTGAGTATCACCTCCTGCCACTCCTGGACCACCTCTGAAATGTCAGGGTAGCCCACATGCAGACACACTTCCTGTTCAACAACATTGCTCCTAAGAGGTCATTACCAGGACAGGTGAGTCAGAGGTATAAAGGGACATGTTGAATCAAGAGCTCTTAGCGGATACCAGAGACAACACACTCAAGTGGTGGCCTGCCTGGAAGAACAGGAAGGATAGAGGAAACTGGAGAATAAATGAAGAAAGAACAGGACAGTGAAAGCCAGGTAAAAGTAAAGCAAACCTTTCTTCCCTCCAGTCTCCTGTTTATGTATGTGCCTGACTGTTGGGTCTGTAACACTCTAGCAGAGAAAAACCTTAAGGGGATAAAATCTCAAAATCAAGTCACACAGTGGATCCTTATAGCCATTTTATCAGATTCCTCTCTGCCCCAAGCATGTCAAACTACATTATTTCTTTTTTTGTTTTTTATTTTCCAGAATTTACCATTATTGGTTTTTTGTTTGTTTGTTTTGTTTTTTACTGAGACAGAGTCTCACTCTGTTGCCAGGGCTAGAATGCCGTGGCATCAGCCTAGCTCACAGCAACCTCAAACTCCTGGGCTTAAGCAATCTTCCTGCCTCAGCCTCCTGAGTAGCTGGGACTACAGGCCTGTGCCACCATGCCTGGCTAATTTTTAAAATACATACATACATATATATGTGTGTATATATATATATATATATTAATTGGCCAACTAATTTCTTTCTATTTTTAGTAAAGACGGGGTCTTGCTCTTGCTCAAGCTGGTTTTGAACTCCTGACCTTGAGCTATCAGCCTGCTTGAGCTATTGATCTCCCAGAGTGCTACGATTACAGGCGTGAGTGCCGGGCCTGGTTCCTATTTCTTGATGTATTTGAATTTAGAAAAAAAATAGGCTGAGGGCAGCCATTTGCATCCTCTATTTTTCCAACCCCATAGATTTTTCCCTCCTTGAGAAAATCCAATACCTTCTCTTCTGAAATTATTCTTTCACCAACTTTATTGTTCTTCAGAGTAAGAAAGAGGAAGAGGTACTAAATGAGAACATGATTCTCTCCCATCCCATTCACTCCACATCAATTGAGCATTTAATGTGAGCACTATTCTACTTTCTGGACTGAATTTGGAAAAATGGTTCTCTCTCTCTCTCTCTCCTGATACACCCTCCCTCCAACCCCCTATACCAGATTCTGACTATAAGACCAACTATTTACCTTGCATAGCATAAGTGACCACCATTGGCTGCCTGAATCTCTGAAAGGATCCACAGAAAGAGAAGGGAGGGCCTAAAAAAGAAAAAGAAGGGGAAAAGGAGAACAGAAAAAAATTAAGGAAAAAGAGAAGCAAAGGCAAAAAGCAAAAGAAGGAAAAGAAAACAAGAAGCCAAGCAAAAAGGCAGGTAGTAAAGATGGGAGGAAAGAGAAAAAGGAAGAGAAGGGTCAAGAAAAAGAGTGTTTTCCTCACCCAGCACATGTTCTGTCATGGACTACACCACCTTCCAGCAGACCCTCAAACCAGGCCCTAGATTTTTCCAGGCTCAGGAAAAGAAACCTGACCCACATGGTTCTCCAGATGCAGTCACAGAATCACTTTAATTGTCGCCACAGCAGAGAAGTGAAGTTGTGCAAAGCCCAAAGTCTTATACGATTGCTGTAGAGGCTCGAGGTGGGGAGCAGGAAAAGACATGGGCAAAGGAGGCATTAAACTCTTCCAGTCCACACCCAGAGGTAAACTCGGACCAGGGAGCAGCCTGATGACCAGGATTACAGCAGGGACTAGAGCAGCTCCCCACTTATTCCCCCCCAGGCCAGGGAGGGGGGAACAGAAAGCCTATGAAACCAGCCGTCATCACACTATTCTGCCATCTCTAATCCTGGGATCAAAAGGTTGGATGATCCATAGGACAAAGAAGAATTATATTTTCAAGAGAGAAGAACAAAGAACAGCCCATCCTCTCTGCTCAGAAGCTTCTCTTCAGCATACCTGAGAGGAAAGCAACATGTGAAAGAGAAACTAGAAAAGGAAGAAGAGGAGAAGGTGAAGAGAGAAAAAGGTTGCTTTAGTGTCCAGATGTTAACTGGAGCTTCATGTCGTTACAGCTTATAACAACAAACTTTTCCATAATGAAAGTCAGGTAGCTGCAGTTAGGAGTGACTTGGCCTGCTTTGGACAACTTACAGAATGTCAGATCAAAAGGTTTGGAGCTTTTGTGACATTTGCCCCCCTTGAGCTCACAGGCAACAACAGGGCTGTTACAGACAGCTTTGACCGTTTGGAGTTCCTCATGGATGAATGTGTACTCATTTATGCAAGTCTGATTGTGCTCCTTCATCTTGTCTGCCATCATGGTATTGCATTCCCTAGCTGTGAGGTCAAGCTGAAGATAGTCTTTCTTGCTCTGTGAAGGAGCCTCAGCTCTGAGCAGCTTGTTTCCTCCAACCTCATCTTCACCGAGGATGGTCTCTTCTGACCAGACAGGTTGCACCACTCCTTTGTTGCTAAGCACCAGGGTTTCTGTGGTTCGGGTACCCTCCCTCTCAGTGGCTTTAGCTTCATCCTGTGAGTCGCTGGACCAAAATTCATTCAGCGGCTGATCACTGTCCTCCAGGACTGCTGCGGCCATCTGAAGCCCCAGGCCCAGGCCCACTCCCAGGCCCAGCAGCAGCAGCAGCAGCATGAAAAAGACCTGCACCAGATTCGCCTTCATTTTGCCTGGAGGGGAAGATGGAAATGGAAGAACACAACTTTGAGATGAAAATTGGCTCCCATAGAGTCCATAGTCTCCCTATACCCTACAGCACCCTCTTTTTTTTTTTGAGACAGAGTCTCACTCTGTTGCCCAGGCTAGAGTGCCATGGTGTCAGCCTAGTTCACAGCAACCTCAAACTCCTGGGCTCAAGCAATCCTGCTGCCTCAGCCTCCCAAGTAGCTGTGACTACAGGCATGCGCCACCACGCCCAGCTAATTTTTTTTTTTCTATATATATTAGTTGGCCAATTAATTTCTTTCTATTTATAGTAGAGACGGGGGTCTCACTTTTGCTCAGGTTGGTTTTGAACTCCTGACCTTGAGCAATCCGCCTGCCTCGGCCTCCCAGAACGCTAGGATTACAGGCGTGAGCCACCGCGCCGGCCCTACAGCACCCTCTTTGGGGTCTCCTTTCCCTTCTCCACATTACTCCATTCTCTTCAAGACAGTGATTCTTTCTTTTCTTTTCCTATTTCTCTTGTCCCTCCATGCCACATGCTCTGGTGCTATGTAAAAAATAAGGTATGGCTCTTAAAGAGTAGGAAGCTGACCAGGGCAAGCATTTCTAAAGTGGTTTACTTATGAGGAATCAGTAAAGGAAGTTCACATCCGCTGATTCTTAAACAGAAATTCATTCCAAATAACCAAAGAGACTGATTGAGAAAACAAGTGAGTTCAGTGTCATGCTCACATTTAGAGAAATTCTTGTAGAAAGTCTTATTTTCAGTAAAGGGTCAGAATTATCATAGAAGACCATCTTTCCATTTTTATCACAAATTTACTTTTGCTCATTCAAGTATATATTACTCTCCTTGCTACTCACCCTCCCAAGATAAAGAGCAAAGTAATAGAAAAAGTATCCTTCTCACTCCTAAGCAGAGACTGAAGGGAAGATGTCCAATTTTACATCCCAAACCCCCCTGCTAAAGCTACATCTTGTTACGCCAGATTCCTTCTACGACTAAAGACCTCTTAGCACCTGGGTGTTCCTGCGATTAGGTTTGTACTCTCAGGGAAGAAGCAGAATAAGAATGAAACCAAAGAAAATCAAACAATTGATATGCTGGGTTTCCCTACTAATAAATACCCTAATGAGAGCTAAGGGAATGAGCATGTATCATTGTCCTGCTAGGCTGGCCTCATTTCCCTATCAAAGAGAGATCTTCCCTACCAGAAAAATAATGCTATAAAGAACATTATTGAGGGCTGGGCCCGGTGGCTCATGCCTGTAATCCTAGCACTCTGGGAGGCTGAGGCGGGCGGATTGCTCGAGGCCAGGAGTTCGAAACCAGCCTGAGCAAGAGCAAGACCCCGTCTCTACTATAAATAGAAAGAAATTAATTGGCAAACTAATATATATAGAAAAAATTAGCTGGGTATTGTGGCACATGCCTGTAGTCCCAGCTACCTTGGAGGCTGAGGCAGGAGGATTGCTTGAGCCCAGGAGTTTAAAGTTGCTGTGAGCTAGGCTGACGCCACGGCACTCTAGCCTGGGCAACAAAGTGAGACTCTGTCTCAAAAAAATTAAATTAAGAACATTATTGAGACAATTGATAAAATTAGAATACACTCTGTATAGAAGATAAGAGTATTGCAGTAGTCCCTGCTGATCCACAGGGAATATGTTCCAACACTCACAGTGGATGCCTGAAACTACTGATAGTGCACTATGGTTTTTTTCCTATACATATATATCTATGATAAAGTTTAATTTATAAATTAGGCACAGTATGAGATTAACAAAAACTAATAATAAAATAGAACAATTATGACAGTATACTGTTTGCAGTTTTACAGATAGAAGATTCATTCTTACCATAGATCGTAGCTACCTCACCATATGAATTATTTTCTTTCCTTGTTAAGTTGAGAACTTTCACCTTTTCACCTAAGGAAGTACTTTATGGCTTCTCTTTGGCATAATTGCCAGCAGTAATTGCCAGCATTACTGCTCTTACACTTTGGGGCCATTATTAAGAAAAGAAAGGGTTCCCCAAGCACAAGTACTGCAATACCAAAACCATGACAGTGTATCTGATAATGGCTACTGAGTGACTAACAGGCTGGCAGGTGGTGTCTACAGCATGGATACTTTAGACAAAGGGATGATTCACATCCCAGGCAGGATGGAGCAGGACAGCAGGAGATGTCATCATGCTACTCAGAACAGCATGCAATTAAAAATTATGAATTATTTCTGGAATTTTCCACTTCATATTTTGAGACCACAATGGACCACTGGTAACTGAAACTGTGGGTAACAGAGACTACTGCATATCAATGTTTAATATACTGAATTTTAAAACTGTGCTCTGATTATTTAAGAAAATATCATTGTTTTTAGGGACTACAAGCTGAAATATTAAGGAGCAAAGGAATACATGCAATGTATGCAACCTGCTCTTAAATGGTTCAGAATATAGATATAAGTGTGTGTGTACATGTGTGTGTTTACAGAGAGAGAAAGAAAATCATAAAATAAGTGTGGGTGGAAACATTTTAATGTATCTGGATAAAGAGTATTCAGGAGTTCCTTATATTATTATTGCAACTTTTCTCTAAAGTTGAAAATATTTCAAAAAATTTTTTTATTTTTAAAAAAAGAGAGAACTTCCCATGTTGTTCCCTGGGGCACCCAACACCTCTGTGACTTACCTATAAACCTAAGTAGCTTCAAATAGTCTTGAGTCCTCCCCAAGTTCTTACCTCCCAGGGTTTCCCTCTGTGAGCAGTTCTCTGGCTGCTGATCTGCAGAAAAATTGTTATCTCCTGATGGTGCACATGCTCTTAAACCCAGACTTACTTCCTAAACCCACTCTCCCTTTCACTTCCCCCACCCAGCAATGCAAAACATGCTCAGCCAATCCTCCTTTCTGTGCCCACAAACACTTTGAAGTAAAGCTGTTTGGGTACTGAGACAGATCCAAACACCCAAGACAGGAAATGTTTCCAGCCTTGGGAAACTGCAGACAGTTTTGTTTCTTTAATCAATTGTTCCACTCCTGAGTTACACCCACTATCCTGAGTTACACCCACTACCCAGCAAACAGCCTGATCTTGTGCATGAATTTCAAATCTAGTCATTTTCTTATATTCTCCACAATGTACTTCCTTTAACCTTTTCCTGTAATTTCTGGAACATCAAGACCTTTGCCCTTTATTTAGGTCATCTCTACAACCTGGTTGTTTTGCTTTTCACATTTTACAAGTGTCATGACTTCACTGGAAGATTTCGAGTATTTGAGTCAAGCATGAATTTTTGCATACCTTTACCTATACCTTTACCCCGCCCTGCACTCTCCACTCCCTCTTTCCATCGCCCAGGCAATAACCACATTCTCATAAGAATATCCAGATTTTGCAAACCTAATCATTTAGTACTAAAATGAAAGATTATCCAAAGTAACACTATGATTATCAGTCCCTATAGCCTGGGTGAATAAAACCAGGAGAGTTACAATGTTGATTCTAAGGTTCAGACGTCTAAACTGTGCTCTGGAGATTATTAAGGCACTATAAAAATTCTGTATAGATATAAAGATGCCCTTTAGGAGGATGTTTTCCTTAGCCATTCAGGCAGGAGTTTTCAAATGGTAGTCTGGGAGCCACTTCTGTGATCTACAAAGTCTAGGCTGACTTTTTGCAGTGCTTATGTTTAAAATTTACAACATTACAGTTCAGTTTTATATATAAAAAAAAAATAAATAAAATTTACAACAGCAATAGCAACTAACTAGTATTGAGCTCTTATTTCATGTAAGGCACTAATTGCCTTCAACCTCACAATTTGCTTGTGCTATCCCTCTTTGGTGCCATTCATCCTGGTGAGGTCTATTTGCAACGTGAAGAGGACATCAACTAGCACTCTGGGAGGCTGAGGCGGGGCGCTGGCTGATTGCTCTGAGGTCAGGAGTTCGAAACCAGCCTGAGCAGAGCGAGACCCGTCTTACTATAAATAGAAAGAATTTAATTGCAAACTAATATATATATATGTAAAAATTAGCCGGGCATGGTGGCCCATGCCTGTAGTCCCAGCTACTTGGGAGGCTGAGGCAGAAGGATTGCTTGAGCCAGGAGATTGAGGTTGATGTGAGCTAGGCTGATGCCATGGCACTCACTCTAGCCTAGGCAACAAAGCGAGACTCTGTCTCAAAAAAAAAAAAAAGAGGGCATCAAAAATCCTCTGCTGAACCCAGTAGCAGTCTAGGGTCAGCAAGGATAAATATATTCAACTACAGGTATCACCTGCTTCTTTATAATTGGAGTGCTTTAGTTACTACTAGAGATAATTTGAAATTAACTTTTGATAAAATATAAAGACAGAAACTAAGTCTGTGGTCTAAGTATAACCTTTAGACTGAACAGCTTTTTATTTTTGTTTTTTTCTTTTCTAGGCTGCAGTTTTCTCATTTTCTAAATTTGAATAGTGCTAGCACTTACTTCTAGGGCTGTTGTGAGTATTATATAAGACACTGCATTAAAAGGCCAGATGTATTAGCTGTTATTGTTGTTATTGCATTATTGCTGCTATGCAAGTGCTTATACTACCAACAGACATGCTAATAACCCGTCACCCACAAACAACAGCGAACATTTCCCAATCGTTTAGACCAATAGCACAATACAGGACCACCAGTGCATACCAGGTGACCCCTCACGACCTAACGATCCACAAGCACTACTGGGAGGACCACCATGAGCCGCAGCGCAGGTGGACCCATCACTTCGAGGTTCTGGAAATTCTCAAGGCGGAGCGAGACCCCCACTTACCTAAAAGACCAATAGAAAAGCAGAGTAAAGCATACTGCCAACCCTGACCAAAATATATAACCGAATATACAAAAAATTAGCCGGGCATGGTGGCACATGCCTGTAGTCCCAGGTACTCGGGAGGCTGAGGCAGGAGGATTGCTTAAGCCTAGGAGTTTGAGGTTGCTGTGAGCTAGGCTGACGCCACGGCACTCACTCTAGCCTGGGCAACAAAGTGAGACTCTGCCTCAGAAAAAAAGAAATAGCACATACTAAGGACTGCAGCTACCAACATTGCTCATTGTTTCTCCTACAAGAGTCAAGCAATATCCTAGAATTTCAGAGAAAGAAGTAAGGCTCATATAGGCTGACCTTTCATATTACAAATAAAATGGCTCAAAGAAGTTAATGTCTCTGATGCTATAGATAAGTAATGGTAGTTCTGATATTAGAATTTCCAATTTGTAGTTAAACAAAATTTATGACAGATAGATAGATAGATAGATAGATAGATAGATAGATAGATAGTAGGTAGGTAGATGATGGATAGATAGATATAAAGAGACAGAGATAGGACAGACACTGATTTTAAAATTGACAATTCATCTAAGAGTTAGATTCTAATTTTAAGTGCTATTTCTCATTGTTGATCAATCTAAATATAGGCTTCCAATTCTAGTCAAAATGGAGTAAGAATTGGGTGTTGCCTGAAACTCACAGAAAAATGAAAAAATTATATGAAATAACAGATTTTGGACATCAGGCAATAAAGGAAAATGATCACTGACTGAGAGAAGAGAAACAAATGGAATGAGCCCTATGATTCCCCAGCTTATTCCCTAGATAGAGTTTTCAGGCTACAGGACCGAGAAGGAGACCCCAGGAGGAGTCTGTCACTCTCCCTGAGCTGCACAGATGAAATAGGAGGTCCAAGGAGGCCAAGGCAATTGGAGTTCACAGAGCACAGTACAAGAGAAGACAGAACTGCAGAGAGAACTTCAGAGATCTGGAGTGGTGAGATACCACTGCACATCTCTCAGAATGGCTGAAAGAAAAATTAGTGAAAATACCAAATGCTAGCAAGGATGCAGAGAAACTGGATTTCTCATACATTGGTGGTGGAAATGTAAGATGTGACAGCCACTCTGGAGAATAGTTTGGCAGATTCTTTTTTTAAATGATACATAATATTAATAGTTGTACATCTTTATGGAGTATATAGGATACTTGGGGTTTTGTTTGTTTTTATTTCAGAATATTATGGGGGTACAAAAGTTTTGGTTACATGTATTGCTTTTGTACAGTTGGAATTAAAGTTATAAGTGTGCCCATCACCCAGATAGTGTGCACTGTATACATTAGGTGTGAATTTACCCATCCCCTCTTCCCTCTCCCACCTGCTTGGTTTCCGTTTAGTTTTACTTCCATATGTGTACGTGAGCGTTGAACTATTAGATCCAATTTAATAGTGGGTACATGTGATGTTTGTTTTTCCATTCTTGCAATACTTCACTTAACTTGTAATATTTTGGTACCTGTATACCATGTGTTATGATCAAATTGAGATAATTGGGATAAACATTGCCTCAAACATTTACCATTTCTTTGTGTTGAGAACATTGCAAACGTTCTCTTCTAGTTATTTAAAATATACAATAAATTATTGATAACTATAGTGACCCTATTGTGCTACTGAATCTAGAACTTAGTCCTTCTATCTAACTGTATATGTTTATCATATAACCCAGCAATTGCACTCCTGATCATTTAATCCAGAGAAATGAAAACATATGTTCACATAAAAATCTGTACAGGAATAAAATGGCAGTTTTATTCATAATAACCAAAAACTGGAAACAACCCAAACGCCATTCAATAGGTGAAGGGTTAAACAAAGTGTGGTACATGTGTACCACAGAATACTACTCAGCAGTAAAAAGGAATGAACTGTTGATACATGCAACAACTGGGATGGATCTCAAGGGTATTGTGCCAAAAGAAAAAATTTACCAATGGTCAGTACTGTATGATTCCATTATGGTAATACATGGAGACAGCTATAGGGGTGGCCAGGGGAAAGGATGGTGGTGGTAGACGATACATGTAACTATAAGGAGTATCACAGGGAGATCTTTGTGGTGATGGAATAGTTCTGTACCTTGATTGCAATGGTGACTCGATGAATCAACAAATGTAATAAAATGACATAAAAAATAAATGACATGCACACACACAATCACCAGACACATACACAAGCTAGGCTAATGTGTTAATTATCTGATTCTGATATTGTACTACATTAGGTGAGAATGTAACAACCCTGTGGCAAACTGGTGAAGGTACATGGGAGCTCTGTACTACCTGTGCAACTTCTTGTGAACCTATAATTATTTCAAAATAAAAAAAAATGTGTTAAAGTATTAATGCTCTTATAGAAGTTTTGCATAATAATGGATCACCTGGGTTTATGTGTGCCAATGTGTTATGTATCTTTGATTTAATCTTTCAGAGTAGTAAAGGGGCACACAACATGTCAGCTATGAAAAGTTGCATCTGGAGATCTGAGAACCAGTGGTTGCCACACTGTGCACGCACGAGTTTCTTCCATTCGCAATTGCAGCTGGCCTGTGACACGTTCACTGAATACAGGAATACAGCTCAGCCTTGAGCTGGAGGTTCTCCAGCTACGAGAGGAGTCTTGGCAGGGGAGACATGGGAATAGCAGAAGGGAAAGCATGTTGAGCAGTGTTTTTCTTTTTCTTGTTTTTTTTTTTGAGACAGAGTCTTGCTTTGTTGCCCAGACTAGAGTGAGTGTCCTGGCGTCAGCCTAGCTCACAGCAACCTCAAACTCCTGGGCTCAAGCAATCCTACTGCCTCAGCCTCCCAAGTAGCTGGGACTACAGGCATGTGCCACCATGCCCAGCTAATTTTTTCTCGTATATATATTAGTTGGCCAATTAATTTCTTTTTTTATTTATAGTGGAGGGGTCTTGCTCTTGCTAAGGCTGGTTTCGAACTCCTGACTCGAGCAATCCGCCTCCCTCGGCCTCCCAGAGTGCTAGGATTACAGGCGTGAGCCACCGCGCCCAGCCTGAGCAATGTTTTTCTAATAAGGAATCCAACTCTACTGTGGATTCCTAAGGAGCTGTTATCTTTTTTCCCAGGGTTTTTTTTCATTCACATGCCCACTACATATACAAAAGTCCAGGGTAGGGGAGGGGGCATTTTTTCAGAGACTGACACATTATTTGAGATGACCCAATGTCTAAACACTCTCACCAGGATCCCACAGTGTTCAATCATGTGCAGAGCAGTGTCAGTTTACCTTGACCCACCAAACACAAAGGGACCTAGCCTATTAGAGACACCCAGCAAGCATCTTGATAGTAAAGGCTTCCTTATGATATTAGGTGGTGTGATTATGAAGGTCATGCTCTGCTTACGGGCAGCCAGCTAAGGGAGTAAGTAGAGACTGAAACCTAACGTGCACTCTTCTAAACCAACTACAAACTGCTAAGAGTTGACTTCACCTGGAGGAAGAAGCCTTTCCTCTAATTCATACAAAGGTGCCACTTAGGCTTTGTGAGGACCTAAATAGATGGTTCTACATTTTAGTTCGTTTTCACATAAGTGACCGCATATGATCCTCACAGTTTCTCCACCAAGTAAAGAGGTCTAGAATTATTTCTCCTGTTTACAACAAAATTGAGGCCTGGAGATGTTAAGTAACTTGCTTAAGGCCGCATAGGTAGTGAGTGGCAGAACAGGAATGACACCATGACCTGCTGACTTCCACCCATTGTTTTTCCTCTTTTACCATCTGCCTAGACCCTGATAACGTGTTCCAGTCAAAGTCATTTCCTCGTGGATCTGGAGAACAATTGGCTATCTGTGATGCCGAAAACAA